TTTACTTTAAAAGAAATACATATGTGTCTGATTTCTAATGCACAGCAGATTTATAAAGTGATCTGAGGAAAGTATGTAAAGCCGATGCTCAAAAAGACCTCCGCTTTTTTTCAATACTTCTTTATCCAAAGTAACTTTGTCTGAAAGCTTTTGTTTGTAGATGTTTCCTGTTTCCTGGGTTATTGTATGTGCTGTTTCATACAGATGGAATTGTTTTTTTACCCTGATGTCACCTCATCTACCATAAGTGCTGGTATTTTTTATAAGTAAACTTTCCACCTAATATTGCTGTTCACGTGCGGTGGGGGGGCAGGCATATTCCACTGGTTGATTGAAGTTGTCTTGTGCAACTTTAACTTCAAAAGCTACTTTGTTAGCAGCTTCACTCCTTTTTTGTCTTCATCTGGCTCCGAGTTCTGTGTAGTGCTTATTGCTGTTATTACCTGTACAAAATATATTTAAGTACATAAATGTTGAACCAAGTATGCAACTAGACTTTCTCAAGGACAAAACCTTTTAATGGCATTAGTTTAGTATGTAGCCTTGTAAGCTTGAGGCAGTTGGTCGGCTTGCCTTCTCAAAATGCCCACCGTACTATGCAGTACAACAGGGTTTTTTTTTTTCATTAGATGCAATTAATCTTCACTCTACCAAGTAGCAAATGCTGAGTTGTTGATGGTGACTACTCTATAAATGGTCATACTAATGCTCCATCCAGTCCAGTATCCTGCCTCTGACAGTAGTATGGAAAGCTTCAAGAGGGAGAGTTGCAATATTCGTACAATATTGCTAATTGCAAAATAGCATGCCATGAATTCAGATTTCTTCTGACCTCAGCTTGGGCCTTTTTACATGTGGTGAAATGTGGAGCCGGGCATTTTTAATTAGCAAGCCGCGCTAATTAAAAGCACCTGCGCGTTGCGTGCATCAGTGTCACTGCACATGCCGGTGCTGAAAAATGGCAATGGGGTACTTTGAACAGGTTTTATTTCGAAGTGCCCCACTGCCATTATTTCAGCACAGAGACGCGCAGCAGTGCTGATACATGTGCCGTGGAAAGCTGCTGGAGTGCGTCCATTTCCGGGCTTCAGCAGGCTCGATTAATTGAGTGTGCTCTGCACTGGATTTGTTGGAGCAGGCTCTGCACATGTGTAGGAACCCCTTGTGCCCTGAAGTATAACAGCTTTATAACTCCTGAGGTTTTTACCTTTGCTACGATACAGCTCCTCCTGTACAAAGACATGCCTAATCCTTTTCTGAACTTCAGAGTTAGAAATAACACCTTAAACAGCATACAACATGATAAGACTTATCTGACATGCATGACTCCACATATTAGAGGGCAAATGCAGCTTTCAAAATCAGGGAAAGGTCAGTTTTCTTGGGCAGCACAAAATAATGTTGAATGGGAGTGAATTAATTGATCACAGTCCACCTAACCAAAAAAAAAAAAAAAGAGGGG